TTGCTCATGTTGTGTGTTTGTGTGGTAGTGGCAGAGCAGATTCAGATCACAGTGCAGCCGCAGTCCCAGGAAGCCGCACCTGGCAGCAATGTGGTATTGACCTGCAGGGCCTCTGGTCCCCCCGGACTCGGCTACCAGTGGTTCAAAGGCAAACAGGAGGTCACTGACATTTTTGTGATTAATGGATTATAAAAAGAAGGAAAAAGATTCCTGCATGAACCCGCAGAGGCAATGAGATAGCTTGCCATCTTAATATCTTAACACAGTTTCAGCTGTGAACTCTCATGCATGTTGATTTTTTTTCTTTTGTCTTATAGATTTTGGGGGAATCAGGAAATTCCTCAGAACTGGTTCTTTGCCCTTTAAGCCCCACCCACCAGGGTCACTATATCTGCAGGATAAGCCATGGAGAGAAATTTGTTTTCTCCAAGTGGGCTCAAGTTCGCTTGATCTCCTCTGCAGGTTCTTCTTCCTTCTGCTTCTCTGACGTCGTTTTAATTTATCTTTCAGCATGTCATGTAATGTTTTGGTGACTTTTCTCAGGCTGCAGCAGCAGTCTGTTTCCAGGTTCAGTGAGCGGGTTGCATATCATCCAGCGCCCGCGGTCCCAGGCAGCCTCTGAGGGGGACACTCTAGTCCTGGAGTGCACTGCAGAGGGAAACCCACCTGCACAGTATGAGTGGTACCACAACAAAGTGCCCATGCCACAACAAAAGATGAGCTCGCTCAGGGTAAGTAAGCAGCACAGCTATGCTGCACAGAGCTGCTTCTCTACTGGATATGAAAACCACTGAATTATATTCACTTAAAGAGCACGGTGGATTTACATGTGACGTCATGCGCACTGGATATGATATATTCACCATTTGCGATGGAAAGATGGGTATTTTTGTGCATGTGGATATAGTTGGGATGGAAAACAACTATTTGGCGATGTGTCCTGGAGCTGTGTGGGGAATGAACTTTGTTGCAGAGAGAGTACCGTATTCACCTAAAAGCAGAAGTTATGACTCAACGTCACAGATTAACTGCACAATGCTTGTAGACACATCTGTCATGTCCATCCAAGCAATTTTTATCAACCATATAAGGAAAATGCATTTTTCCCTAGTGGCAAGTGGTTCCTGGGGGTTCACCGACTGGTCTGTGTGACCTGGGCTTTAGTAATAATTTCCCGAGCAACTGATATCAACCTCCATCAGTGCTTACTGGATGGGTGGCGACTGTGTGACCTCTGTGACCGGAACCTCGTTCACTTGATCCTAAATTGGGTGGCTCAGGAGATAGAGCAAGTATTCTAGTTTATCTACTAATCGGAACGTTGCTAGTTCAATCTCTGTCTGCTCCAGTCTGCATGCCATAGTTTCTTTGGGCAAGATACTGAACCCTGAGATGCATTACTCGGTGAGTGTTGGATAGAAACAACACGTGTGTCGGAAACTTAAGACGTCTTCTACTCAAGTAAAGTATAAATATAAGAATCAGTCCATTTAACATTTGTAAGAAAATGTCACATGTCTGCAACACCTTAATTTTTTTT